CTCGATCAGATGCTCCTTTATCAAGTCTTCTCCATGAGACCCAATCAACTCCTCCACGTTATTCTCATCTACTTCCAGCTCCAATTCTTGTGCTAATTTTACACGCTGGTTACTCACTTCTCCAAATGTTTCATCTCTGTCAAATCTATAATAGTGAATGTGGACTTTTTTCAGAATTCTTTAATTAAAGTTGAATTTGTGTAATGTAAGTTTACTAAAGGGAGAACTGTCTGTACATATTTAAGTATGTACAAATAAATACAAAGTAGTTAAATACAGGGAGATTTGAGAAAGGCACTGGGCAGTTAGGGGAGTGGCAGGATGGGAGATTGGAAAGGGGATCAGGAAAAGCTTCATGTAAAGGTAGCATCTGAGCTTCATCCTGAAGGAACAGACATGGAGGTGAGAAGTGAATGTATTTCAGGCATGAGAGATAGGCAGTGCAAAGACACAAAAAATTGAAGGTGAAATGCCCTGTGTGAGAAACCAGAAGGCCAGTTTCACTGGATCAGACAGGAAGAAAAAGAGAGGGGAGGGAAGGAGAGAGGGAAAGGGAAAGAGAGAAAGAAAGAAAATATGAATGTATGTAGAGAGGGGAAAAATGTACAATGAGGTTGAAAAGATAGTTGGGGCAAGTTTTTAAAGGCTTTAAAAACTAAAGAGAAGCAATCATTCAGCCACCATTTAATATTTGATCCTAGAGGCAATAGAGCGCAGAGAGTCTTGGCACAGAAAAGATGTGAGACAGAGACCAATTAGGAGGTTGTTGCAATAATCTAGGCAAGAGGTAATAAAAGAATGAACTGATGTAGGTGATGGCTGTTTGAGTAGAGAGAAGGATCAAATGAACCTGAGAGACTGGAAGAATAGGGAAGTTTTGAAGACAGTGGGTTTGAGGGGAAAGAAAATGAGTTCACTTTTGGACTTGGTGAATATGAGATACCTCTGGCACATCCAGTTTGAAATGTCTAGTTGCCAACTGGTGATGCCTTTTGGTTGTCCATCACCTGAAATGCACTCCCTCCTCACCTCCACCTCTGAACATCAGTGATTTTCTTCAAAACCCAGCTGAAATGCTATCTTCTGTAGTATGTCTTTCCTGATCTACCCAAAAGTGGCTGCGAGTGCCTCCCCAAATTATCTACTATTCATTTTCTATACACTTTTAAATGTCCATACTATTTTTTCTGGTAGAATGTATAATGCTTTAAGGGTAGGGAGACAATTGGTATTCTTTACATTTCCAGAGCCCCGCACAGTACCTGATGATAAAAGGAGATGCTTAAAAAAGGATCCTGAAAGTATTTAAAAATGAAACTGGGAGGATAACAGACATACTAAAGACAGTGAATCTATCAAATTAGGATTCTATGAGAGCAAAGATGGAAAAAGGCTTAGATTAGACAAGGTACAGAACAGAGGTCTATGCTGGTGGCATCAAATGTTTTAAGGGTGTAAGTGATCAATTTTCAAGGCATCTAAAGTAAGAGTGGATACCAAATGCAATGGGAAAAAAAAAAACATGGACAGTGTTACTCCTAAAAAATAAAGGTTAATTAAGAAAAATACCAACAGCTAATGATTCTTACGCTTACTATTTTATTTTTACAATATCTTTATGAAATAATCTATAGAAGGAACCCTCAGTGAAGGTATGAGAACAGGTAAGCTTTCACAAATAATCCTACAGATGATTACATTTTTATGGACACAGCCACATGAGCTTGTTGTTTGCAGACTACCAAAAAAAAGCATCTGATTTCATAAGGCAAAGTGCCATTTAAATGGTTTTCCTCTAACCAATTATCTCCCATGCATATCAAAATCATCCAAGATTTCTTAAGAGATCCAACAACAGAGGCCACTTGGTTCAATGACCCTCTGATTAATATCAAGAAAGTTATTCAATAAATAGACAGACAAAAGCTTGCCCAAAGTACCTGACATTGTCATAGGATGTTCAGAACAAAACACAAATAGAGATTCTCTAAATATGGTGAGGCCCATCAAGTGGCTGTTTGTGAATGACAATGTGGCAGCCAATTACATCAAGCCCTGGAATATTGCAGAACCTTCAAATGAGATCCATTATATCCACCAAGTTGAAGAATACAATTGTCTAGACCAGGTGTTCTTAATCTTTTTGGTGTCACTGAACTCTCAGACAGTCTTGTGAAATCTATGAATTTCTCAGAACAATGTTTTTAAATGCATGAAATAAAATACCCAGAATTACAACAGAAATGAATTACATGGAGCTGGGCCATCCTTATATATTTTGTACAGATACTGTAAAGTGTAGCCCAGAATTAAACAGGAGAAAGATGGAAGGCCAGGTTGTATTTGAAAAGTGCGTATCATTTTCAATAACCTTAAACTTTTCCTTGAAACAAAAACCTGTATTTTTAACATCAGTATTCTTCCAGTTAATTCTATCTGTGAATCATGAAATATTATGCTATTTTAAAAACTGCAGGTCACTCAAAAGTTGAGTATAGATCAGGTGCAGCATGTGACCAATTACAAATTGCATGCAAAAAGCAGGAGAAAAGATAACATCAAGGTGACAAATATGACAAAGAAGAGGAAGTGGAGTGGTCAAAAAGCAAAACAAAGTATAATAGATGGAGCACATACACTCCATTGGTACCCACACTGAGACCTAGAGGAAGGCTCCTAGTATTTTGGCCAGACCCCCTGCAGGAAGGCTTATGGGAGGACATGGATAAATCCAACAGGATAGGGAGGTATGGAATGTTTGTAATCTGCAGCACCAAAAGGAGTTCCAACTTTAATGAGATCACAGATTCACCAAGGCAGGTTTTAAATATCCCACAAAGTACTATTTTGTTGCCTCATTGTGGTATGTAGGTGTTCTCAAAAGCTATGCCAACACAGTAAAAGTTTTATCCAACAAAGTTAGAAAGACTTCAAACGTAAGTCTCATAACAAACCCTGTCTGCTATCCAAAAACCAGTCCATGTGTGCAGAGGCATTCATTAGCAGAAGGCTAAGCACCATTTTTTGACCACAGCAATCACAAAAACTCCCTACTAAGGTGCAGAAGTGATATTGTTATCTACATAGGAGGAAGCACTGACACTACCGAACTGACAGGTCCTAAAAGCACATATATCATGTATCTCCAGAGACAAGCCCAAAACAGATCTTCTTCTTTAGTTATGAGAAGAAAAGATTCAGTTAAGGTAAGTATATAATCAAGTAAATTAGACACAGGGTAGATACTTTTACTTAACATAATGCTCCCTAGGAACTGGTAGTTTTCAAAAGATTATATAATTACTCTATGTATTTTTATGTATTTCTATATATCACACATGCAGAGATAACACCAGAGTACATACCTTATGCTTGATGTTTCTTCTTCCAGAACAACTGATTCTCTGGGTGGATTTTCTGTCACATACACATCATTGTCTCTTGTTTCTTCATCATCGCTACTCAAAACACAGCTGTCAGGCTGTCCTCGACTTATCCTTGGGTTTCTTCTTTGCCTTCGATTTTCTAAAAATTAAATTGAAAAAGGGAAAGTTTATGAGTATTTTAGCCTTCTCAGGGTAACATGTCACCACTGGCTCCCATCCTAACCCTTAGTAAGCTCTCTCTCAATAAAACCCCGCTAACAGCTTCTGTGATCATTTATTTCTACAGGACTGTCTCACTTCACCAAATATTGATGCCACTGTTCTAAGTTCTCTAGAAATATCTTCCTCGGCTCCCTCTCTCACACAGCCCAGGTTACTTTATTCCCTGACCTATCAAGTTCTCTCACTGTTGTAAAAGATACCTCATTCCTCTCCCACTTGGGAAGTGCTCACCAAACCCCTCTTTCCCATATCTCCTGCCAGTCACAAGGCTCTCACTAGTGCTTAGAAAGGAATCAAAGAGAGATCCCAGCAAGGGATCCTAAGAAAGCCTAACAGTGGTTCAGGACTGAATTTGTGACATTGAGTTAGGTCATAAAAGCTTTCTTAGGCTTTTGAGATTTACAGAAAGTATCCTGCAGTAAGGAAAGACGACAGATTTTTAAACCAACATCAGCCGCTTACAAAAATGAAAGACTTAAAAGTTTTGGAGCCTAGATGCCAAGCTTAACTGAATATGAACAAGATTAATACCAACCTTCTCTTTTTTTATGCTCTGGGAACCCTTAGGACCTCTTTCCAAGCCCTGTTAATACTTAAAACTTTGAGATTCAAGGTTTTTCAGTAATATGTGATTAAATGTGAAATTTACTACTTACCTTCAACAAACTAGTTTAAGAAACAGGAAGGGAAAAAAAAAGAAGTGATTAGAATTTGATTTTAAGCATTCATAATTATGAAGCATTTTTTAAATATAAAAAGTAGCATAGCATATCAACTTCAAAATTTCCAAAAATCATATGCTAAGTAATTAATAGACTAACAGGGAAGAAGTGATATAACAGAAAGGGCCTTGAATCTAGAGACAAAGGACTTGAGCTCGAATTCCACCTCTAACGCTCACTTTCTGTGTGATCTTTAGTAGGTTATTATCATCTTTGGGCCTCGGTTTCCTTAAAACAAGAGTGCTGGGTTTCATTGCCTTTGAGAGTCATTACAGTTCTAGATTTGTATTATGATCTCATGAGAAAAACCAGTGAGTAAGGCAGCATTGGTAAAGGTCTGCAAATGACCAAATTCAGGGAATGATGATGATGACAACAACAGCTGGCATTCTATAGCACCTGAAGGTTTGTAAAGCTCTTGCACACCCACACACCCAGACCCACACACCATCTCATCTCAGCCTGAGCACTTGGCCATAAGATTCTCAACTGCTTCATTACCTCTATGAAGAAATTTGTCTCTTTCCCACCCCTTTTATTTAAGAACAAAAAGTCTCATAAAACACTAGGAATATTTAGTGTCGTTTAGGCAGTATTTCAGCTGTGTACCAGGTCATCACAAATATTAATCAACAGCAAGTGAAAACAAAGCACTCATCAAATTGTCAATTCAATGTAGCTCAGAACACTTATTTTAACCACTGTCAACCCTAATAAGCTTCTAAATGTGAAGGAAAAGATTTAATATTTGTAATATTTAGTTTTAACATTTGTTATATATGTACACAGACTAAAAATGCTAGATAGAAATGTTCAACAAAGATTCTGATTTTGTTGACTCTCCATAAATAATGATACATGTGATCACATAATTAGTTACTTGGGAAAGCAGGTGGTCAGATTTGGCAACCTCAAGCCCATTTTAAGTTCAAGGATACCATCAATTCTTTCCATGTAAAAGGAAGGCAAACAGTATATATGGCATAAACCTTAAAGTTTCTTCTGGTGTAGCAAGTATTAAGCAGAGTATAACAATTCTCTAATCCCAGGGAAAAAAAAAAAGCTTTCAAGTAACAAAGTCCAAGAAACTCTATTCTTTTGAAAAGCTTAAGTTCTCAAAAGATGTGAGTTTCAAAGATTACAGTTACCGGTGGACTAATTATTTGACAAAAACTACTAGGAAAAATGGAAACCAGTCTTGTAGAAATCAGGTTCTGACAACACAGGTGAAAAAGAGATAAGTGAGAAAGCTGAATATCTTATCAAAACTCTTTGTGTTTCCTGACTTAGTATAGCAACAGGTTAATGTAATTAAAAGGAGGTAGGCTACCTAGCTGAACAAACAGAACCGCAAATAAAATACTTAAACAGGTAGGATGGCTAAAAGAACAGTCATCTCAAAAGCCCCCAGAAGATCAGGAGTTTGTCAGGAGAAATTTCCAAAGGGAGCCTCAAAAGACTAATGTTTTCATTTGAAATACAGGAAGTCTGAGTAGTAAGGAAAGTTCTCCAGAAACCTGATGAGTTTGTGTTATAGTACTCACTAACTAATAACTTAATCTCATCTTCACATTTGTATAAGGGCTAGAGGAATGCTTCTTCACAGTATGGTTTATGAAAAAGGATAAAGTGGACAGACAGAATGGAAGAAATAATTCACAAGTTAGAAAAATGTCCTTTAGGCATAAAAAACTCATTATATTTTCTCACACTGTCCCTTCTGAACTTTTCCATCATTATCCAGGGCACCACCATCCTTCCAGTCACCCAAGTTTGCAATCTCTATCATCCCTTCCTTCTTCCTCTTTCATTCCAGATACCCAACTGCCAAATCTTATCATTTCTTTCTCTACACTAACTCTCAAATGCATCTCCTCTCCACTCACACAAGCACCACTCTAGTTCAGCCTCTCATCACCTCTGACCTAGACTATGGCAATCACCACCTAACTAGTCTGTCTCAAGCCTCGTCCTCATGCAAATCCATCCTCCACACAGCTGGCACAGAGAACTAAGTAACACAATGCACACAATGCAGGACTTGGAGTCAAGAAGTCTTGAGTTTGAATCCTGCCTCAAACACTTAACTAACTGTGCAAGTGTCTCAATTTTCTTATCTATAAAATGGAGCTAATAAGCTCTTACCTCCCAAGGTATTATGATGATCAAATAAGGTAAAATATGAAACACTTTGCAAACCATGAAGTACCTAAATGCAAGCTATTATTATTTTCCTAGAGCTCTGACCACCTCACACCTCACACCCCACCGAACCCTTCAATGAACTCCAGCGGCTGAATCAAATATGAACTGATTAGCATTTAAAGCTTTTCACAACTTGGACTGTTCCTATTCTTCCAGTTTTTATACACAATACTCATCTCCATACACCCTACAGTCCAGCCATACTGGCTTACTTATGGTTACTCACATGTGACACTCCACATCCATCTCCTGCCTCTGTACTGGTTGTCCCCTGCTTCTGGAATGCTCTCCCTTTCATCCTCTGCCTTTCAGAATCCCTGTTTTCCTTCAAAATCCAACCCAAATCCCATCTTGGGCAGGAGGCCTCTCCTGGGCCCTTAGTTGCGATGCCTTCCCCTCCAACGTTATCCTCCATCTACTCTGTACATCTCTTATACTTAACCTATTTACATGTTATCTCCACCATTAGAACATAAGTGCCTTGAATGCTGGGACTGTTGTTTGTCTCTTTCTATCCCCAGTATTCAGCCCAGAGGCATAAAGTAGGTACATGGTAAATGCTTGTTGATTACATTACAAGGAGATGAAAGGCAACTAAAACTATAAAAATGAGAACTACTATAGCCAAAAAAATAATTATATGGCTTACCCCCACACGGGGGTGGAGAGGAGGGTGACACAGTATCCTCTACTGAGCAACCAGAGGAGCTCGTACGTCCTGACAAGTATAAGAAAATCCATTACTGGCTCCAAGGGCTAATGGGTTGGGGACTTCGTAATGACAGAGAAATGGTTACATGGAAGCCAAAGCTGGCTATTTGACAGGTATGATCATGTATAAAAGGTGATACGATATATTCCAACAAAAATGAATGAACAGGCATTTATTAAGGGCTAATTACAAAGTATTGTGCTAAGTGCTGGGGACACAAATATAAAAAACCCCTGTTGTCACAGAGTTCACATTCTAATAAGGGAATACAACACATAGAGAAAGGTTCAACTTCAAGTCAGATAGAAAGGCTTGGTGAGTCCTTAGGGAGCAGTCGAAAGGAGGACAATAATGCATCACCTTTAGAGTCTTGGCCATTAATACAGCAATATACATTTCTGAAGATGAACCATTTGACTCTGTTAAAGATTTTGATTATAATAATGTCACTTTTTTAAAAAGTTTATAAATGACTTACTCATCACCCCAAAGTGGAAGAGAGTATAAATATTATCCTCATTTTACAGGTAAGGAAACAGACTGGATGATTAGAAGGATGATGTTGTCAGAAGAAGAAATAGAGAAGGATGGAAGAGGAATAGATTTAGGGGGAAAGATGAACTCTGTTTTTGATCTGTTTGAGATCGCTACAGGTAGAAACACTCATGTGGAGATTAAGCAAGTAGTTGGTAATAAAGGACTGGAGGTTAGAGAGATATGGTGGCTGGATACGTAGTTTAGGAGTCATCCCACTAGAGATGAGTTTTATGTATACTCTAGTATCTAACTGAAGGCTATAGGAATGCAGGTAATATGTGTACTTTTTTCTGGTATAAGGTTGGGACTTGAGAAATGAAACATAAATGAGAGTCTAAGAATAAGTTTTTTTTTTTGAGGGAAGGTGTGAGTAAGGATGACTGGCTAAGACAGTATAATGATTCATTACTGGCAAGGAGAAGTGACAAATGCTTGGCTAGAGACAATAACCTGATCAAAAGGGATTTAAATTGAAAATTAATGGAATAGGAGAGGATCAGAAATGACAGAAAAACAATGGGAGAGTTCTTAATTCACAAAAGAAAGTAACTATGAAGAAATAACGTTTATGGTTTTTGCTTATACATGTATTATAGTTTATATATATATATATATATATATA